ATATATGTATATATACTCACCTGAACCTCTGACACACCGAGCTTCTAGACCAGTCCCTGCAGGCTCCGACGGTGAAATTTCCCTCAGCGTCTTCACGTCTAATACACTTTATTAGACATGATGACTCATGGATCCTTAGACCACCAGAGCGTGGGGGAGCGAGGCTGCAGGGAACTGTCTAGCAGCCAGGCAGGACTGAGGTTTGGGTGAGTATTTATTTTTATTTTTACACCCTAGACCAAAACAAGCATTTAACCCTTGCAGTGCGGGGGTAGCCCCACTGCAGGGGGTAAAGTTTTATTCTGCCTGGAGTTCTTCTTTAAGTCTGGCCTTAATCCTTTACCGTTGTGGAGTATGTTCTACTAATACTAAGGTTTACACCTTATACCTACTTGTGGGAGATTATAGACCCCAGAAATCTTGGCCATGATTTTGGTTGAGGAGGAGAGCATATGTCCAATGATTCCAGCCAAGGCACCCCGCTTGGCACACTGGTAATTTGGAACAGCATTTTGTGAGCCTGTCAGTACTTTCAAAATGCTTTCCACGGCCTTGCTTTCATATGCGCATGAATCGAAAATGTCAAATCCGAGTGTGACGTTAGGAAGCACAGAAGGATTTTTGTTTATTTCCTCTATGGCATACATAAATGCCAGGTTATGCCTGTAGTAACGTAAGGTTATTCTGAAAGTAAAAAAGAAGAATTAAAGGATTTATGTTACTAATAATGCACAGTTACGTTTTAGATAAAACATATATTAAAAAAAGTTGTATTTGTACATTTTAACAATTTGACATAAAAAGCATTGTAAAGGGGTAATAATTATGTTGATTTTCTATTGTGGTGCCAGAATGCGATCACTGAGGACTTTAAAGAACTGTTTACTGTTGTAGCAGAAAGGCAGCAGAGACTTGCAGTAATGGCCGATTATTTCTGGTTACTCTGGGTAGCCATTCCGAGAAAGATGTTGGCTGTAACTAACTTAGGCCCCTTTCACAATGCTAGTCTATGGGCAGCAGGGTCCAAATGGATGGGCGTCCATTAACACCTGGTTACCCTCGACTCCGGGCACAAACAGAACAGAGTTCCGTTTCGCCGAACCTGATCGTGCGGATTGAGGGTAATTTGATGTAAATGGACTCATGTTCATTTACATCCGACTCCCCATAGACCAACATGGGGTACCGCAGTTTTAGTTGTTTCCTCTATCACAAGATGGAGAGAAAAATTGGACGGACATGTATACAGCAGTAACATCCAATATGTACTGCTCTGATCTGTGCACGGATCCCCTCCTGATCAGCCCATGTAGAAGGGACTTTGGGCTCACCATACGCATTACATTCTGACCATACAATCTCTATAGTTTATACAATCAACTTTGGATCTACCAAAGCTATGTAATGAGCACCTACCTAAACTATTAAATCAATTTATATGCAACCAGGCAGTCCCTTGCACTAGATACTTGTTGGTAAATCTGTACAATCAGATTGTAAAGTGTGTGGTGAGCTTTAGAGATCACTGTAGGGAAGTTGAAAACAGCAAGTAAGGTGTACGTGCAGCTCCCGAAATTGTGTGTCGGGAAGAGTGTGTCTGAGGCTCTGGCAGTATATGACTGGAGAGTGTACAGCTCAGCATTGCAGGTTTTATATTGGTTCCCCAACAGCTACAGCAAGAGCAAGGGACTAAATCAGGATGGAATTAGTCCTAATGGATAAAAGTGGCTCCTGACAGCTGGAAGACCAGGAATTAGCAGAATAATAAAAAGCAATGTAAACTTCCCATCAGGCATGAGTGCCATGGCAAGCTTGCAGCCGGAATGACCAGAGGGAACTCTTCAAAACTGAGAACTCTGCCGATGTATTTTCTAATAACATATTCAATATACTTTCAGTGAATGTATAAATGGTGGCGTTGTTTTTAAAGGGGTAACAGCAATGAGCAGAAAAGCTAAATGCAGCTAATGTGTTTTGAAGTGTCAGAAAAGCCCAAAAGATACAAAAAAATAAGAACAAATGTGGGAAACATTGATAATAAAAACCATACTATATTAATCATCTATACTGTATAGGAAATATTAGTGAGAATTGGCAGAATGCCCACTAGACGGCATAACAAACAAATCTGAAACTACAGTATAATAACCTAACATCTATTTAAAGGAAAAAGCATACATATAAAATCTATATTGCGCCTACGGGGAGTAGACAGCTACAGCCTTAATAACAATTGATTGAAAAAAATGTGATCATAAAAATGTATTTACAATAAAAGAAAAAGTTAGGCCATGTATCTCGAAGACGTATGTCTATATGTCTGATAAAAATGGGTGCCGGTTTGTATGTAATTAGGTTTTACTTTCAGATCCGCTCATTATGCCTCATTATGTGGATATCCTGCTCATTTTTACTAATATTTCCTATATGGAGGATTATTATTGCTTTTCTTTTTTTTTATGAATGTTTCCCACATGTATTATTCTCATTTCATGTATCTGTTGTAGCTCTGATGAAAGTGGATTTTCTCTTGTTGTCCTTGGTGCCTTTTATTTCCTCTTGTCACTTGTGAATATAATAAAGGACAATGGACTCGCATAACATTTGTTTGGTGCTTTTTTGGGTTGAAACAAACCATTCAACAATGCCAGGGTATACCAAGCTGTCCAGCAAAAGTGGCAGATAGAGTGTTGAGACAAACCATTTAACAGCAGAAGTGGCAGATAGAGGGTTGAGACAAACCATTTAACATCAAAAGTGGCAGATAGAGGGTTGAGACAAACCATTTAACAGCAGAAGTGGCAGATAGAGGGTTGAGACAAACCATTTACCAATGCCAGGGTACACCAAGCTGTCCAGCAGAAGTGGCAGATAGAGGATGAGACAAACCATTTAACACTGACAGAGGGCTTACAATGGTCAGCGTTTATTCATTCATGTAAAACCTTTATTCCAAAAGGAAAGAAAAGCTGCTCTAACCAGAAAGTATTAGCTGCAGTTCAGATTTAATTTGTTAGTCAAGTCCATCTAAATCTGCTAGTCTATCGAATATCACCCTTTCCACAGGGTGACAATTCTGCTGTCCATAGAATTGAATCACCCTAAGACAGTAAGTGTGTTACTAGAGGAATCACCAGGTAAAAATAAAGAAAAAGTCAAAAAAAGAAAACGAATGCAGCAATCACATCTAAGGACTGGTAATCTGCAATATAAGACATTTTTTTTTACTAGGTTATGGATAGGGACAGAAAGAGGGTGAGACTGTGGTTTAGCACTGGGCATTGTTGCTGCAACAGCTTCGTCCTGTACACAGATAACACTTATTGCTTATGATGCAGAATCAGAGTAGTAGCTACATTCCTCAGCCTATAAGCATAATCTGAACTAGGACTTCTACAGATGCCTCATATAATATGCCAGACAAGTGATCCTTAAAGGTTTCTCTCTGTACCGTTCGAATGCCTTCTATGGCGATATCAGGAAAAAAGAGACAAGCATTCATGAGTCGCGTTCAGAGCGGCCCCCCAGGGCCATGGGTCCAGTAGCACTTGCTGCTTTCTTTACCTTTGTTGCTTCACCACTGAATCCAATACTGCTTTTGGCAGGTAACAAGAGGAATATGTGTATCTGATCCTCGCAGCTGACAGGTAGCACTGCCGTTCATTTTTATTCTTTTAATTCATTGTAATTTGTAAAGGGTTAAATGAGTGGCAGTTGCATGAGTGGTGACACAAAATTCCAGATGGATCAAATGCTCTATAGTCTGTATTAGGGATGCACCGATACCGATACAAGCATCGGTATCGGCGGCGATACCGAGTATTTGCATGAGTACTCGTACTCATGCAAATACTCCAATACAAAAAACGAGTACCTGTGCCGCGTCCGCCATCTTCAGGGACCCGAACCTGCCGCACACAGGACCTCCATCGCGTCTTCAATGAAGCAAGATGGCTGCGAACTCCTCCTCCAAGTCAAAAATGCTGTTTACCGGCATATATTATTTAAAAAAAAGAAAATTATGTACATATTGCTAACTAAGGCTTGCATCCCCCCTGTTAAAAGTATCGGTACTCGTACTCGGCCTTAAAAAAGTGGTATCGGTGCATCCCTAGTCTGTATACAACTATTACAACTAAAGGTGCCCATGCACCTCACAATTATCGTTCAAAAAACGAATGCGATCCGTTTTTCGTTCGATAATCAGCCAGTTGATGGGAAGTCAACTATCACAATTACTGTACAACTGGCCAGATTTCGGCTATCGGGCAGACTAGAAAACTTTTTTCGAATCGTACGAAAAAAATCGATGGATTAGTGGTGTTTTCGTACGAAAAAAAAACGCTACGTGAACACTGCACATGCGCAAACGAAAATCTGTTATTGGCCAGTTAGTATTGCTGTAGAACGATTATCAAAATCTACATTGGCCTGTGCATGATGGGCTATTTATGGAGAAATTAAACGAGGGTGAGATGACAGGACAAATAAAATAGAACGATAATTGTAAGGTGTATGGGCACCTTAAAGTGACATTAAAGTCAAAAATCTTTTTCCCTCCCCCAATGTTAATGTCAGCACTTACCTTAAATGATGTTTCTTAACCCGATCTTCTTCTTCTTTCCTGTCCTTTTCATCTGTCCCTCCAGCGCTGTGGCGGGTCTCCGATCCAGCACTGACTCCTCTGAGCCTGCTGGCACTTCCTGTCCCACGGTGTCTGCATGCGGGTGCACGCGTCCATAGACTTACCTTGCGTCTCTTTTCACATTTCCGTACGGGAGCGCGGGGAAGACACAGGTAAGTATTAACCCTTTTCAAAGCTTTTTTTTTATTTTTTTACACTTTTTGCATATATCTACTGCTTGCTAGAAGTAGATATATGCAAAAAAACGGAGGGTTTAATAACCCTTTAAGTCATTCAGAAGCATAAAATCTGCAGAAGATAATGAATTGTGCATTTTCCTGCAAGCCACACAAGCTAGACAGCTCTCCTCTAGATCAGAGACAAAGCTGGAAGCGTACCTTGGGAATATTCTGCCCGCCGTCTGCTGACTTAATAATAATATGCTCTAAGAGCAAAACCAAGCTTCGTATAATGAAGTGTGTAACATATATCAGACAGAAATCCTTCTGACTATGACTGAAATTACATAACTATAGGAACGTGTGAGAAATGGTAGCTTCATTGTTGACCTAGGTATAATCCTGGAAAAGTCAGTCCACTTTGAAATGTATCCAAAGTCAATTTGTTTTCCATTTTGGATGTAGAGGGGTACGGGGGAACCACTGCCAGCTTTTTATTGCTGCTGGGGAGATTTACCTAATTCATTTGTCCTGGTGAGCATTGTCACTACAATTTTAAGTTACTACAGTGTGAGGAATAGAGGGGAAATCTCCCAATGGGAACAATTGTTACATTGACAACTATATAAGAGAGAACTTCCCTCTTACTTTCTATTGTGTCCAGAAAACATGATATATCTATATAATATTTTTTTTAAAATAACCTTTTTTGGCATTTTAACTTTTTTTTTTTACTGTATCCAAAACTTAAAAACAAAATGTGATTTAGATATGCCTTAAATATACTCTACACTGAAATCTAGGATTGGCATACCAAGTCCTCCCAGTGACATCTTACATTTGT